CCCCAAGTGTCCGTCAAAATGCATCTCACGTTTCTAACTTGCAATATCCTTATTTACCGCTCTCTTCACTCCAGAAGAGCTCTCTCTCTCGTTCACTCTCTCTCTCTCTGCGGGGGGCGGGGCCTAACTATCTCTCTCTGTGTGTGCGGGGGGCGGGGCCTAACAGACACGCTGCAGCGGCGTGCACACAGATTTTTAAGAGTAGTAGTACCGTTAAAAACCTTAACGACACCCATCCCTAGATATTACACAAGTAAAGTGTTGAGAGTGAAATGTTGCTTTACGAATTTCAACACTTGATGCTGTCACCTTGATTCCAATTTCAGTTTCCTGAAATTGCCAAAACTGAATTGGTTTAATAGAAAACATTTTGACTAAAAGTTGAATAAAACGTTTTGAGTTTTCATCGACTAAAATGTGACTAAAACTAACAACCATTTCGTCTAAATGCTAAATCAAAAATAGCTGCCAAAATTAACACTTCTCGCAGTCAAGTATAACAGATATCCAAACATATTTAAATATATATATTAAGAGGGTTCAGTTTCCACATATTCTCACATGGTTGTATGTCACACATAGCACTGAAAGCACTTCTTAAAAAGCTGTATGATGTTCTCATACACTTGTTATAGTTTTCATAAATAGCTTTAACAGCGCAGTTTATCCCACATAAAATCCGACTTTATTTGTAGACCAGACAGAAAACAGGACTCCACCCGGCTCTGTGGGTTTGTGTTGATGAAATATCTGCATGATTAAAGTCGTGTCAACTTGCCTTAAGCAGCTGCCTTTTTAAAGTGAAATCTGTTATATTATGATCAGCAGATATTGTGGATTAAAATAAAATACTCAAACTGGTAAATGTGTGCGGTGGAAAACCGACTTGATGTCACACCTGTTGATATTCACAAGGCCAATAATGTTTGTTATTGGTGTTATTGGAATGTAGAGCTGTAACAAAGGAGTATACAGATGTGTACACCGAGGGTTACACAGCAATTACATAAAGGCTTATTAGACGTTGCAAACTATACGGAAATTATTTTTTATGTTAAAAGTTTTAAAGAAGCCTTAAAATCTGAGATAGCAAGATCTAACATGTGTCTGTTCCTCCTGCAGGTTATGTATTAGCAGACGACTGTCAGGGGGAGACCCCTCTGATCCCCTCGGAGGTGATGGAGTTCTCCATCAAGCACTCGACAGAAGTGGACATCAACACGACGCTGCAGATCCTCGGCTCCCCGGGCGAGAAGGCTTCCTCCATCCCGGGCTGCAACCGCACCGACTCCGTCATCAGGTACTCATCCTGATCAAGAGTCATTTCAAAATCATTGCTAACACTTTATATTAAGGTACATCAATTCACCATCAACTAGTCGTTAATTAACATTCATGTTAGCAATATAAAATAATCTACAAAATGGAGGAGGCCGTTCTGATCGGAGCAGCTGTGACAAATAATCCAACTGAAACCGGCATGGACAATGACTATGTTTTAAAAAATGCGCTTATCCAGAAAAGCCTGGTTTGGACACTTTACGGGCAGAAGAAACATTTCTATTTCTGAGCCTCGCTGCGGGGAAGCAGTGTGTGGACCTCTTTCACCTGTCAGCGCAACTTACATGATGCGGTTTAAACAAATATAAATAATTGGTTTAAACGGCATAATGATAATAAGCACTACACCTGCAGCAGCAAGTCGACGGGAGTTAAAGAGAGCGGGGCTGCGTAGCGTGCATGGCTTCCTTAAGCAGGTAACGGGGAGACGCGCTCTGGCGGCGGTCTCGTTCAGGATCCGAATTTTTTTTAATGTATTTTGCACACTTATTCCTAGTGTGCCACAGGTTACGGTGCCATTGGCACGCGTGCCAGGGGTTGCCGACCCCTGTACTAGGCCATTAGTTAAGAGTTTTTCCTTAATAACCCTTTCATGAGTGCTTATTTATTGTACGTAAGGAAGTTGTTGTAGATTAGTGGGTCTTAATATGCTCAATATGCAGTAGCAGTACCACAAGAATAGTAATTCTCCCATAATAACACCTAACAAGACATGAAACTACAAGTGTTAATTGTGTCTAAATAACTTAAAATCAGGTATTTCTAACTCAGAATATGTTCACTAATAAGCTAGTAGTTTGGCTCAACTAGTTGATGGTGAATATGTGTACCTTAATCTAAAGTGTTACCAATTCATTATTCTGCCAAACGCTCACATGGCTTTGATGCTGCTAAAAAAGAAGTATAGAGGAATCAGAAACATGTTTATCACCAGGTGGGTTGACACGTACGAGGAATTTGAATTTGACTCGGTGTCGTGTTGCGTACATAAAAGTAAAACAAAAATTGAAAAACACAGATAAAGAACTATTATAAGAAAATATAATAACATAGAACAATATTAAAAGATATATAGTAAAAGATAGGAGTATTTACATAGAAATAGAATGGAATAAAAATGGGCAGTAATAATAAAAAGATTAGAATGCTATTCTACCTATCATTTTGGCATTTAAGGCTTTCATCAAATCGTGTGGAGAAACATCAGAAATGTATATTGCATTGTGTGGAAAAACCTTTTGTAAGCACAGATTTCCATGAGCTTGTTCGCTATGTGTTCATCCTTTGTTGGGGTTGAAGGCTCTGTATGTGATGAAACTACTGAAAGAAATGTTCATACTGGCATCTAGAAGTAGAAGGCCAACGACGGGTTGATTCTCCAGCTATCTAAGGAGATATGTGTAGGAAGAATGAGATTGAAAGCAGTATGTCTGTGAACACTGGAAGGTAGTGAACTGTGAAGGTCTTATGTTTGAGTTTGTAGAAGGTAGGAGGAATGTAAAGTGAAGCATCTTTGAAATGTATTTTGACGCCAAAGCTCAAGGACCAGACAAGCTGCTGTCAGATTGAGATGACATGTCTTTGTTTCCTGCAGTCCTTGGATGTTGTGACACTTCATCTCATTTTACCAGACAGACCTCCATAAAGTACTCGGAGAATAGACACGTCTGCGTGTTGTCGCAGTTATTGTCCTGTAAAGTTTCTTCACACACACACACACACACACACACACACACACACACACACACACACACACACACACACACACACACGCACACACACGCACACACACGCACACACGCACACACACACACACACACACACACACACACACACACACACACACACACACACACACACACACACACACACACACACACACACACACACACACACGCACACACACGCACACACACGCACACACACACACACACACACACACACACACACACACACACACACACACACACACACACACACACACACACACACACACACACACACACACACACACACACACACACACACACACAGACAATAAAACATAGCTTAATACATCTGTCACTGCTATAAGATGAGCTCATTTTCACATTAGCTCCGTATGGAAGAAACACATGAAGTTGTGTCCTTTAAAAAGTTTGAACCCGAGCTGGTCTGAAAGAAAGTGAACTCTTTATTATTCATGAAGTTACAATATGAAAGCAGAACTGTTAATAGTAGTCATTTTAATTATTGATTAATCTGCTGCTGTTTAAATCAGTTGACTGTCTAAAACTTAAAGATATTATGTATAAAAGATATAAAACTGAGATTGGTTTTCACAACTGACAATCTAAGAGAAGTACATGTGTGCTGTCTTAAGCTCAAATAAATGTATTGATTATAATTATTTAAACATTTTTTTAAATATGATTAATATCCAAGGAGCTGAGGTTTCTAACTTTCAAAACAAATGACCAAACGGCCTTTTCAGAATTGTGTGTGTGTGTGTGTGTGTGTGTGTGTGTGTGTTTTTGTGTGTGTGTCTGTGTTTGAGAGAGAGAGTGTGTGTGTGTGTGTGTGTGTGTGGGTGGGGGTGGGGGTGTGTGGGGGTGTGTGGGTGGATAATGACATTGACGACAATAGCAGCAGGTGACATTGGCTGTTGAAGGTTGTGCAGCTCCTGTGTTTTCTGGATTGTTCATTATATAAAGTGTGTGTGTGTGTGTGTGTGTGATGATGATGGCAGTGACAGAGGAATGCAGAGATGATTGCTCGTCAGCGTCAGGTTTCCCATCGGCCAGCGTCCAACCCCGGACACCTTAAATGTCAACGAGGTTTTGTTTTCTGCAAACAATGTGAAACTGTGCACTGTCCTCGAGTCGAGGGGGCGTCATTTAAGCTGCTTTAAGCCTTCTGTCCTCTACTGTATATGATGTTCCTACATGGACTTGACGCTGTGAGGCCCACTCCCCAAAGCACATGAAGATGATGAGTAATCATTTTGTCGCAGTAACGGGGGTTTAACCGGATATCAAAATCACAATTATATGTAATATGTGATTTTTGTAGTATTACATCTAACTATAGCTTAATTTAAATTGATTCCAGCCGTGCTCAAGTCTTTAAAGCGCACGTCTAATTAACTCTGTCTCATTTTGTTTTTATAATCTTGTTTTAATCCCTAAAGTGCGTCCACACAACTGACATGCCGTCATCGGTTTTGAACCCGCCCTTCTTTATTTGCTTCATTTTATCCACGTTTCATATGTGAGATTTTCTCGATTAATCCGAGTCCATGTATGCATGTTGCAGAGAACAAATACCTAACTGTTTATATTATAAAATCATGATCAAAGTTTGTATCATTTAATGTATTAATGTGTCTCTCACACTTCCTTGACTTTATCCACTACTGCTCCTCTCTCCTCAGGCCTCACAGTTGTATCCGTCGTCTCCTCTCACTACTCCTATCATGTTATACTTATTAATCCACCTCTCCCTCTTGTGTCCCTCTCTCTCAGGTTGCTGTCTGCTGTGTTGCGGACGTCGGAGGTCGAGTCCAGAGCGACGAGAGCGAGTCTGACGGGTCTGCTGAGCCCGCAGATGGGGAAGGACATCATGTGGTTCCTCAGACGCTGGGCCAAGACCTACCTGCTGGTGGACGAGAAGCTGTACGAGCAGGTACGAGCTGGAACAAACTCTACACAGAATAACATTACAACATATAAACATATACACTGTAGTATGTCATATTAAAGGTCACCTATTAAGCAGAATCCACTTCTTCATGTCTCTTCTACATCAACATGTGTCCCCTCTGTGTAAAGAGACTCTGAAAGTTTCAGGAACAAAGATTCTCTCTCTTTTTGTCCTGATCCATTTCTATAAAAACCTGTCTGAAAATGAGCTGATCAGATTTTGGCCACTTTATGATGTCATAACGATTTTTGCCTTGTCACCATTAGCCAATCAGCAACCAAGGTAACCCCCCCCCCCCATATACA